TTACCTCCCTTTAATCTGCACTGGAGAAATCTAATATATGGTTGGCCTCTGAGCCCCACCGAAGTCAGCCTGCGGTCACTGGGAAGAGTGGGCGCGGCCAAGGTAGTATTTCTGCAAGCTCACAATACACGCTCTGTGGCCCAACAATAACCTGACCTCCTCAGCGATGTCTGCCCTCTAAACATATGTATTTACTCTGTAATTACAATGTAAGCCACCCCAGGGACAGTTTAATCCCTTGCATCACAGGAAATGAATGAAAGCCATCCCGGATCCCACGATAACCAAAGCAAGGTCAAAATTGCACTCCAAGGAACACAAAGACACCTGTCTTTTCACCAGCTGGAGGCTGTGTTCTCAGCCATCCTTGCTGTCTCCTAGCTAAGCCAAGCAGAGGGACAGCTCCACCCCAACAACAGACGTGATGAGGGCAGGGGTGGAGGATGTGAGCAGGTGAATTCTACAGGCAGGGACCTCTCCCTGCTGTAGAGGAAACCAGATAGCCTTTTCTATAATCTATAACCATCCCCCGACACACACACACAAAAACACACTGACATACTGACTATGCTTGGCAGCACTGAATAACAGCCACTGGAGGCCATACAGACAGGGAACAAAATTGGAACAATGCATTTTTAGGTAGAAAATCTCAAATACCTAAATAACTAGGGTTGGCAATGTACTCTGGGAATGGGGTGGCCAAATCTATGATGGCTGAAGCGCACCCTGTGATGTGTGTGCACCAGGGAGGAGTGTGGACAACACCCATCTCCTTGGAAGCTCAGCCAAACGCTTCATTGCAGAGTGAAGAACTACTTTACAGCAAGGAAGGGCATAAACAGCTACTAAGCATCGTGGCCAGCCCTCTCAGAAAAGCCAGACACACAAGGAAACCTTGCAATTTGAATCTGTTTACATCAAGCTCAAAGCCAGGCGAAACCAATCCATGCAGACTCAGGCTAGGCTAGGTCAGTGGCACAGGGCTGAGCACTTTAGAAAACCTCTTGAGCAGCACATTTAGGTTCATACACTTCACAATGTATGTTATACTGCAACACACAGTTCACATGAAGACATTATATGGAATTGTTGGGCAGTTGTATGGCTGCCTTAGTCCTGGAAAATGCACCACAGTGGGGGTTGGGAGTTGGGGGCTGGCTGTGGTGATGTCCATGGTCCCCATTCTTCACTACAGTCATTTGGGGAGCTTCATACAGGAAGAAAGGAGGTGCCAGTGCTTCTCACAGGCCAGCGGCCCACAGTCAGTGGTAGACACTGTGATGTATGTGCTTCAAGTAATTTAATTTTTGACATTTTCAGACACAAATTATGTGTGTGCCAGGCACTTTGGGTACAGTATTTTCATTCTCTTCTATAGACTCTAGAGAGCTAGTTCTGAGACATAAACCCCTGAGGCTTGGAGAAGTGGAATGACCCACCCTTGGCTGGTAGGATACAAAGCTCAAATTCAAGTCCAGTTCTGTGTCATGGACCAAGTGGCCGGAATACGGAGACCATTGACTCACATGCCAAGTAGGTTGTAAATAACCACTTAACATCTCCCCTCCTGCACCACGTAGCCGCCAAGTGCAGCTCCCCATGGCCCTCCGAGGCGGGCATTCCTGCTGAGGTCACAACTCAGTGCACTGCCAGGCTCCTCAGAAGAGGGCTCGCAGATGCTGCTGTCCTGCAACAGCGGCTCAATGTCCTCCCAGTGCCTCTTCCAGGGGAGCTGGTCAGGCTGTCACTGCCGCTGCTATGCTTTTGAACGCCACCAGCTTTGCTGCATTCCGGGTTGAATAAGACAACCAGACGTGAGAACTATACAGGCTCCCCCAAAAATGGTGGGCCTGCACAGTGGCAACTGTCAGCATTCAATTCCATACCCAAATCGGTGAGCTCCACATGGAACATGTAGAATATTAAGCCATAGAGTGCTGGCCCAAGGTCACTGCATCAGCCTCTTATTCCAGTTATTCCTCTTATTCCTGAGCAGCTCCTTGCCGATCAGGCTCTGCATTCTGAGATGAGGGCACTGATCGCAGGGAACGTGATGTTGGACTTGGTGGTCACAGTCCCCGCTGCCCACATCATCCAGGCCCGAGCTCCAAACCCATACCAGTTCCAGCCTAGCATTTCCCATTTTCCCCTTACCTTAAAAAAAAAAAAAAAAAAAAAAGAGCAGTAGCAGCAACCAGCAACTACACTGGAACACACACTGGTATAGTTAACACCAGTTTAGCATTCTTTAGGCCCAGGATGCTCACCAGCTATTGGGCGCTTTTCTCCCAGCAGGGCAGCACTTGCCCAGGCAGCTGCCTTCAGCTGGGGACAGAACTGTGAAGAGCGCTGTGCTATGCTGCCCATACTGCAGCTTCATCTCCGAGAAGAGTGGCAGCAGTGAGGATGGGACTCAAGAACACAGAGGGCGGGCGCACGATGGCTCAACAGGCTAATCTTCCACCTGCCAGCACTGCATCCCATGTGGGCACCAGTTTGTGTCCCAACTGTTCCACTAAGATCCAGCTCCCTGCTGTGGTCTGAAAAAATAGTGAGGGTTGGCTCAGGCCCAGGGCACCCATGTGGGAAACCTGCAAGAAGCTTCTGGCTCCTGGTTATGGATCACATCAGCTGGGCTGCTATGGCCATTTGAGGAGTGAACCTGCCGATGGAAGATCTTTTTCTTTCTGTAAATTGGCCTTTCAAATATAAATAAACCTTTAAAAACAAAAAACCCCAGGCAAGCTTTCAGCAGCTGCCACTTCTGGGAAGATGCTGGGCCAAGCTAATGACTCGTCAGAGCTTTCCTTATTCTGCTAAAGCAGTTCCTAAATGACAGCAGGCTACACCCAAGATGACTTCTTTTCATTCCCAGAAATCCATTTCGAGAAACAGGTCACTACAGGCTCAGAGTCCATGTCAATGGGACCTGGTGAGCTCAAGCTGTGACCGTGTGAGGAAAAGCAGATGGGAGAGCCTGGCAAAGGCAGCCCAGCCCTGCAGGCGAGCAACTACTCTGCACCTCAACTGTCAACACCGCCCCACACTAGACAAGCTTTGGGCTCCCTGAGTTCTTGTCTCTATGCCACAAGAAACCGGGGAGATCTTGGCAGTTTTCACACGTTCTTCTACACCTTCCTCTCTGCTGTCAGCCATTCGGAGGCTTCTGACTTGCTGGCCGTCACGGCCAGGTGCAGAGTGCAGGGCAGCCCTGGTCCCTGCTTCACCAGTGTGCCTAATGTGAGAGAGCCCAGCACACAGCAGTCACACAACTTCACTTGGGTGGACACAGACCGAGTGTTCCCTGCTCAGCAGCACCATGCAAAGCGGCAGACAGCAATGCACAAGGATAGGAAAGGCAGGGTGGCAAAAGGCAGCGGTGCCATGTTTGGGGGTCCCTGAGTGCCAGCCCCAGCAGAGCAGCACGAGATCAGGCAGACACAATAGAACCCCACTTTGATGCTCACCTTATGCACATGGAACCGTAACATGCCCTTTCAGCTGTGTCTGAAGTGCCCTTCTAGCTCCTGTGTGCTCCCACAGTTCACAGCAGGCAGGTAACTGCCAGAGCCTGCGAGGGCGGCCTCCCAGCAAGGACCTTGGAAATGACCTGTGGGTCAACCCCCCAGGGGCAAGTGCATGTTCTGCCAGCCACTCACAGCACTGTGCCCTTCGCTGACCTTGGACTTGGAGGGTACGGAGAGGTGCCACCTGCTGTTCCTGTGGGATATACTTTACCAGAATCATGGCCAGCCCCACTTGCGTGGGAGACAAGAATGGCAGGAAGGAGGACTTGACCACAGCAGCAGGTACACATTTTAATGTTGTCACTTCTGCCATATTTTGCCTTAGAAGTCATCACAGTAACAAGGACACAGACAACCTGACATGAACATAAACAACAGTTTCCAGATGCCATGGCTGGTATACGACCACATGTTCCCGGGATAGCCCGACTCCTGCCCACAGAGTGGGGCGGGAGGGAGGGAAGGGGACAGAGTGGAGGGTGTGTCCCCAGCACCTGAGGCAGGGCTCCTGCAGCAGCTGTGCCCCAGGGTTCTGTCCCCAAGTCAGCCACATGCTCCAGGCCCCAGGCCGAGCCTCCCTCTCCCACTTTTCCCTTTGTTCTCTGGAATGCATAAAGCTGCTCATGACTCAAGTCCCTAACAGCAGAGATGGAGTGGCAGAGAGACTCTGCTGGGTGCTGTCCTAATGCGATGAGTTCATTCACTCGCAGTGTTTATTACTCTCACCATTCACCAGAGAAAAGGGAGGTTCCAGGAACTGAGCAGCAAGGCACAAGTTTGGGACCCACGTCCAGCCTACATGCCACTCATGCTGATGTGGTGACCCCTGACAACAGCACATGGCAGCACTCCCCCCAGCGAGAACTGAACCCAAGCCTCAGCCAGCACTCAGGCCAGGCAGGGTGTCAGTGTGCTGGCCTCAGTCCTACTCACGCCTGCTCCCTGGCTCCGTCTGGCTTCCAGCCACAGGAAGAGGTACGAAGGACAAGCACGAAGGGACACTTCCAACCAGGAGCACTGGCCGCTAAGGGGCAGGTGGGCATAACCACTAACTCATCAAGAAGAGGTGACGCAGTGCGCCATGGCCTTCCGGCCCAGTCCTATCCTTGGTTGGCAGAGCTGGGCATTCTCTGTCCCGATGTGCCGATTCCCAGTGCTGCCTGGGCACAAGCCGTAATCCTAGAACAAACTCTGCATCTGGCCGGCAGCAGAATGGGCCACACCGTGCATGGGTGCCCATGTTTGAGAAGCCACCCCCAAGGGAGACTGGCCCGACCCAAACACTGCAGCACACACAGTGTAAGCACCACCGAGGACACACAGAACTCAAACACACACTCACTGGATATGCTTAAAAATCATCATTTTTCATCTGATCAAAGGGGGAGTCACTTTCTGACTGGTCACTGCACTTCTCTTAACAGCTTACCACAGAAAAAGCATTTAAACATCAGTCTTGCCACCACAAACTTAGAAGTCTAGACAAGAATATATTTTATTTTTTCATAAAAGTTTTACCAAAAAAATATATATTTTTTGCTTAACTTAAAAATACAGTTTCAGAAAGCAACATCTAAGTTGTTGGAATTCATTACACATCTAAAAACAGCCGTGGAGGGCGGCGTGGACAGAGTGGGCTCCAGTGTCACACATCCGCCTGTTCATTTCAGAAGCTTCACCTTGTCCTTCAGTACCCTGAAGGTGGGGTTCCTGCTGATCTTCTTGTTAAAGATGACCACGAGCTCCTCTTCGGACTTGTGGCAGTCACCGGTCACTGTGTGATACTGCGCTAGGACCTTCACGGGGAAAAGAGATGTTACACAGCGGTCCATGTCCTGTTCCCCTAGGTCTCCAGTGGGCAAGGCAAGGCCGGCACTGAGCGCACAGTGCAACACCCACAAAAAGGACCACAGACACTGCCACTCTAGGACAGCAACCACTAACAAAAATGAGGTAAACCCAAACTCTCGACACTGCCCCGGCTGAGGCTACAGGAGGGGTTTGGTGCAGTTTTTATCTACGGAGCCCATGGGGCTAATGGGTCAGCCTGAACACTGAGACATAAACACACTCTTCTAGTGTTTTAGGTAGAAGAAACAAAAAATAGGAGCTGACAACACAGCTCAATTGGCTAATCCTCTGCCTCCAAGGTCAGCAACCCGGAGCGCTGGTTCATGTCCCGGCTACTCCACTCCCCATGCAGCTCCCTGCTTATGGCCTGGAAAAGCAAGATGGCTCAAGGGCTGGGGACCCTGCACCCACATGGGAGACCCAGAGCAGGATCCTGGCACCTGACTTCAGATCAGCTCAGCTCTGGCCACTGTGGCCATTTAGAGAGTGAACCAGCGAATGAAATTCTGTCTCCTCTCCATAAACAAGCCTTTCCAATAGAAATAAGCACATTTAAAAAAACAAAAACAAAACAAAGCACCCAATTATTCCTGGGGGGCATTTGGCCCAACATGCAGAAGTCACCTGGGATGCCTGCACCTCCACACTGAAGGGTCTGGGTTCAAGTCCAGGCTCTGCTCGCAATTCCCAGCTTCCTGCTTACAGGAACACAGGTGGCAGCAGCTGAGGGCTCTAGCATTTGTGTCCCTCCCACTGGAGACACTGCCTGGCTCCTCGGCCCTGGGTCTGGGGCTATATGGGTATCTGGGCATTGACCCAGTGGCTGGGAGGTCATCTCCCAAGTCAGTGTTAAAGGTAAGCAAATTTGCCAAAGCTACCACATGGCATACCTTTTTCCTTAGTTTTTTGATGGAGATTTCATTGTCGGGAGCCTGTTTCAGAACTGCTTTAATAGTCCCCTTCCAGTTGAATTTACCTACATGGCAACAGGTAGGTAGAGATTAAGGAGGGGCGGGGCAGAAGGGCAGCAAGAGGCATCCCTGCGGTGCCAGGGCCACGGCCAGGCCACTGCAGGAGATGCAATGGGCACCATCGTCTCCTACAGATGCTGGCCACCGACAGCGACCTCATCCACGTCACAGAGAAAGCATCCATCCCACACCCGGGAGGGTCCCAGGCTGAGCGCTGAGCACCCAACTCCCACGGTCACAGATCCTCCCCGGCCTTGTTCCTGCCTGGGCAGAACCCTGGGGTGTGGGGAGCACACAGGGACACGAGGACCTGCCTCCTCAGGCCTGAAGTCCTGTGTGATGGGCCGTGTGGAAGAGGATCCATGACAGCACACTGGATAATTCTTGGGCAAAGCGGGGTGGCCATAGCATTCCAAGCCAGCCAACTGACAAGAGGTGGGCATGGGCGGCTCAGGGACAGGGAGAGGACAGGCCCTGGAAGGTGTCCTAAATGCCAAAGCTAACACACGTGTGCACTTCCCAGCCAGACCCAAAGGGGCACTGGCAGACTGCTGCCCCAACTCCACCCTGCCAGCACCAACGTGGGTTTGCTCTTCCCATACCTCGTCTGGGGACACAGTTCACTGCCCTCGCCCCCACAACGGGGAAGGACAGGCGAGTGCAGGCCACGCACCTTGCGCAGGCGCCTCGGGCTCTTCCGGTTCTCCACCCTCGGCACGCACTGCCAGCTTCATCTTTTTCTTCTTGGAATCTGTCTCGGCTAAGTGTTTAGAGAAGACAGCCTGCATTTACCCAGAGCACGCCTCCCACCGGCGGGTCGCATGCACAAGCCAGTGGTTAGGTCACTCCCACAGCCGCCCTGATGCCCTCTGCTGAGGCCAGGTCCTGCACATCCCCGACTCTCAGCTGCAGTCAGCCGGCCACATACCTTCTTCCTGCTTCCGTTTTCTTTTCCCCACAGCTGACTTTGTCTCCTCTGCACCGGCACCCTCTCCCCTGTCCGCTGCCTCCTCTCCCTTGCTCATCTTCTTGGTCCTCTTGCTGGTCGAGCCATTGGCCTTGGGCGTTTCCTCCCCGTTGGCCTCAAGTTCAGTGTCGGGTTCCTTTCTGCACTTCTTGAGCTTCCGGCCCTTGGCGTTTTCTTGGTGGTTTTCCAGTTTGAGCTCTTTCTTTTCTTTCTTTCTGTTCTTCTGTCGCTCCTCCTTCCTCTCTCTCTTATTCTTCTTCACCTCTGCCTGCTTCACTGTAGCATCATTTGCGTCAGAGGCTGGAACCTGGGCAGGGGTTTCTGCGTGCGGACTTACCCCTTTGGTGGGTGGCGGCTGAACTTGCCCCTTATCAGCTGGCTCCTTGTTTTTGCCAAAAAGCAAGAAATGTGACATGCTCAGTCTAGCTGTGTCAACGTAACTGGTCACAACACTGACCATATTTTATAACAGCTAAAAAGTGGCAGAGACAAGGAAACGGGCGAAACTCCCAGACCCCAGCCCTCTCTGCAGGGAACATTTTTCTTCCATGGGAAAATGGCACAACTCCCGGGTCTGAGACTGGAGTCAGACACGCAGGCCTGCAGGCCCCACACCTTCCTCCCAGGAAAGAGCAGATAGCTGGGACCTGCCGCCCAGGGTGTCTGCAGACCTTGGCTAGCTACTGACCTGCTCTGAACCTGCTTCCTCAACTGCAGAATCAGCACTAGCAGCCTATACAGACAGCGCTAGCTCTGTCCCTTTCATACCATGCTCTCAGGGCTCCTTTCCTGGAAGAGAATCTAAAGCAAAGTACCAAACTGCCCCAGGAGCCCTGCCACCTCCAGGGAAACAAGAAGGGCACCAACGGTGGCAGCTGCAGTGTGGCTTTGGGTGCCCCGAGGCACGGGTGCATCTGTGCAGGTCTGGGTCCAAGCTCAGTTCCATCCAGCACCAACCAGACAACACAACACAAGGTCCTCACAGTCCTCCAGCTGGACCAAGCAAGGGCAGAAGGGGCTTCCAGGGTGCATGAGGCCTCAAGCCATTGCACTCAGGAGTGGTGCCAGGAAGCGGACACTGAACAGTTCTGGGGTCTTGGGGTGGCTTGGAAGTGAGGGCTCCCAGGTTTGGGCCGAGGCAGCATTCAGAAGCTTAGGAAGAGACTGCCATTCGCATCCCTCAGCAAAGTGTTCCTACAACCTCCAGGGCCAGAGCCCTCGGTCTCCCCTGCACCTGGCCTGACTCCAGACCGGCAGCTCAGCCCCCGGTACAGGACACAAAGGTGCAGTGCTATCATCTCTGTCCTGCACCCCATCTCTTCTCCCCAACCCAGTACCTGCTTTCTGCTCCACCCTCTCCACGGCCCTTGTCCTATCTGACAGAGCCTGCTGGCCACGTGAGCAGTGTGGAGCCCTTTTGGAGGTGGCACCTACCTGGTGGGAGGTCCTTAGATGACCTGAGGGACCACCCTCAGAGGGGATGCGGGCTCCCAGTCTCCTCTGCTTCCTGTCTGCAGAAGTGAACTCTGTCCTGTGTATGCTCCCATGTGTTGCCGCAGGACCCGCACCACAGCCTGTGCCACACTGTGTGGGCTGTGCCACTCTGTGAGGGCTGCCAGTCTCTCTTGTGTACAAAGGTAGCCTGTCTCCTGCATTCCATTTCAGTAACAGAAAACAGACCAGCACCAAGACAGACACTTGGATACACTGCCAGGGCTGGCATGATGGCTCACTGGCTAACTCTTCACCTGCCTGGCAGCCCGGATGGGCACCAGTTTGTGTGTTGTCTGAGCCACCGTCCATCCAGCTTGTGGTCTGGGAAAGCAATGGAGGATAACCCAAAGCCTGGGACCCTGTACCACATGGAAGACCCAGAAGAGGCTCCTGACTTCAGATTGGCTCAGCTCTGGCCACTAGGGGGTGAGCCAGCAGAAAGGAGATCTTTCTCTGTGTATCTCTGTCTAAATATAAACTTTAGACAACTATCCTCTTGTTTTGTCAAATTACAGATTTAGTTTCCAAAGAGGAACTAAGCAGCAAACAAGAGCAAAGCACGACTGAATAGACGGGCGTGGGGGTGGGAGGTTGTGGGTGGGGTGAACCTGTAAGCTTCCCCACACATGTATTCTCTTTGCCACAAAGACATTGTGCTGTAGGCCTAGCAGCTAGTAAATGCTGGGCATGCTCACAGACCTCTGCCCTCCCTCGGGAAGTGGCCGCTGTGGCCCCTAGGCCATCATCTCCCTAGTGGCCCATCCCCTTGCATGACTGCTCATGTGCGGCACCACAGCCACTCCCTGGGCATGCTGTGTTTTTCTCCAGGGCCCAGGACAGGCCAGGTCCCCAGGGAGCACGAGGAGGTGAATGATCACTGTCCATGTTTTTGTAGATAAGGAAACTGGCATGAAGAGGCTAGATGGCGTGCCCACACCCACGTGTGGCACACAGCATGGCAGGGACATGGACCAGGTCTGCTGAATAGTGCAGTGCCTGCCCTTCCCCAATGCCTGGGGCTGGCTTTCCAGGCTAACCGTACGTTGGCTGGCACCACCAGCAACAACTCTCTCTACACACCAAGCACACCTTCCCTGCAGGGCACTCAGTTTACTCCTCCCCGTGAAGGAAGGCACAGGCGCTTGAACACAAGTGAGACATTCCCATTCCATTATGATGAGTTACACCACAGACTGAAAATCAAATTCCACTTACGTTGCTTGAGGCTTCAGAAAAGATATTCCACACCTGCTCCAGGACAGACTCATTGTGAATCTTCAAACTGTTCTTCATCCAGTTCTGCACGAGAAAGGAAGAGAGAGCCATGCATACATGCAGAGACCCCGCCGTGGTCCCAGACGGGCCACGCGCACGGCCAGCTCCTTACCTGGAATTTTGCCTTTTTCCTGGGGACGTTGTCAAATGTGCTAATCTGCTCTAAAAGCTCTTTCACTTTGGGACTGACATTGGGCTTCTTAATTAATTCATTAATTTTCTACAAGAAAAGGAAAATAAAACAAAAGCAATCAGCAACCAACATAGAAGTTTCATAAAAAGCAAGCAAAATGTTATTTCTTTAAAAAAGAAGATTTATTTATTTATTGGAAAGTCAGATATACAGAGAGGAGGAGAGACAGAGAGGAAGATCTTTCATTCATTGATTCATTCCTCAAGTGGCTGTAATGACCAGAACTGAGACAGTCCGAAGCCAGGGGCCAGGATCTTCCTCTGAGTCTCCCACATGGGTACAGGGTCCCAAGGCTTTGGGCCGTCCTCGACTGCTTTCCCAGGCCACAAGCAGGGAGCTGGATGGGAAGAGGAGTTGCCGGGATTAGAACGGGCGCCCATATGGGATCCCGGTGTGTTCAAGGCGAGGACTTTAGCTGCTAAGCCATGCTGCTGGCCCGCAAGCAAAATGTTAACTTAGACCCAGATTCCCCAGGTGTATCGACCCTAAAGGTAAAAGCATTAACTTCTCTTCAACCCATGAGGGAGTTGGTCAGAGCAGGACGGCAGGAAGACATTAAAAGCATCTCAAGTGGGAACAGTGAAGTCAGTAAGATGATCTGCTTCAGACAATTTCTGCGAAGGAATATGCTGTCGGCACAGCAAACCCCAAAGAGTCCACTAAATCCCCATCAGAGCCAACACACAAAGCTGCAGCACTCAAAAGTCATCAATGCATTTCCACACACTAATGGATTTTAAAAAGAAACAAGAAAGGAACTCCATTTACAAGAGCAGCAAAAATAATAGAACAATTAGGAATAAATGTAAGATTTGTATGAAAATTGCAAAACCATGCTGAAAGAAATCAAAGACACTAACAAGTAGACATCCATGTCACAGACTGGAACTTAATGTATACAGCTGGGAGGACAGAAGCAGCAGCTCCACCCCAGAACTCTCGTGCCATTTACAAGGATGCTGAGCAGCCAAGACAACATTGCAAAGGAACAGAGACGGTGAGCTTAGACTTCCTGGTTTCAAAACTTACTGCCAAGTACAATAATCAAGCACAACAGAACAGAGAGCCCACGATGAACACTTGCATGTATGGTCACTAACGGAAAAGGACAGGCTAAACCGCCAAAAAACACATCCACTCTCTTGGATCCGAGCTCAGCATCGAGTCCTGGCTGCTCGGGCTCTCATCTAGCTCCCTGCTAACGCTCTTGAGAAGACAGCAAAAAGTGACCCAAAGGCCTGGCGGCATGGCCTAGTGACTAAAGTCCTCACCTTGAACACTCCAGGATCTCATCTGGGCGCCCGTTCTAATGCCAGCAGCTCCACTTCCATCCAGCTCCCTGCTCGTGGCCTGGGAAAGCAGTCGAGGACGGCCCAAAGTCTTGGGTTCCTACACCCATGTGGGAGACCAGGAGAAAGTTCCTGGCTCCTGGCTTTGGATCGGGGCAGCACGGGCCTTTGCGGTCACTTGAGGAATGAATCAATGAATGGAAGATCTTCCTCTCTGTATATCTGACTTTGCAATAAAAATAAATCTTTAGGGAAAAAAGTGACCCAAGTAGGTGGGTCCCCAGCACTCATGCAAGAGAATCACAATGGAGTTCCTGTAGGGGCTTTTAGGGAATCAACGAGCAAACTGAAAAATGAACTCTCCCTCTCTGTGTTGCTCTTTGAAATAGAGAAAAGGACAGTCTTTTCCACCAATAGTGCTGGGAAAATTGAGTATTCAGAAGTCAAAGAATGAAACTGTGAGTCTACTCTATGTACAAAGATGAACTCAAATGGATCAAAGACCTAAATCTGAGGGGTCAGATGACAAAGTCTTAGAAGAAAGCATAGGGGAGAAATTAAAAAAAGGCAAGCAAGCATGGGGAGACGCTCCGGGACACTGGACTGGCCAGCGATTCCTAGGATATAACACCAAAAACACAGATAACAAAATAAAGTGAATTATAGAAAAAATTAAAACTTCTATGACTCAAAGGACATTATTAGTACCATGAAATGGCAACTCACAGAATAGAGAAAATGTGTGCAAATCTTGTATGACACAGAATTAATGTTACAAACAAAAAGAACTCCTATGATGCAACAACAACAAAACCAGCCCAGCCAGAAAAGTGGCCAACAGGGCAGGTGCCGTGGCACCAGGGACGGGGCGGCTGCTGGGACACCCCACTGAATCAGAGTGCTTGCCTCTCCTTCTGATGCTGCTTCCTGTCCCTCGCAGACAGCCGAGGACAGGACAAGAGCGTGCGTCCCTGCCACTCGCATGCATGCAAGAATCCCTTCCTGTCACAGCTGAGTAATATCCCAGGGCCTATTGGTGTGTACCATCTCATTTCTCCATTCATTTATCAATTGATGCTGGGTCACTTGTACTTCTTGGCAGTTGTGAGTGACTTGGGGTGGCCTGGAAGTGAACCAGTTGCTGCACTGAGGGGCAGGGAGGAAGAAAGGTTCTTCTCCCAGGATCAAACATCTGCACCCCCAGGCCCACGTGCAGCCTGAGAACAGCCACTCTACTGACAGGAAGCCTGCCGCAGTCCCGCACTGGGGAGAACCCCAAGGCTGCGACACCACAGGGGTCACCCAGGAGCCCAGGTGGTTCTCCATCACCTGTACTCCACCCTCCTGGGGCTGTCGACTGGAGTGAGGAAGACTCCGACTGCTTAACTGATGATGCAAGGATTGGACTGTGGGTGCCGGACCTGGAAACTTCAGCCAACCTTGCCTAGAAAGGGCCCGTGGGTAAATACTGCACACCCACAGGCTTCTACTGCCTTCACAAAGAAGGGCTGGCCCCACTGGGCCCCACTGTGTGCCCATCCACTTCAGATGAGTTCATCTGAGTGCTGACAGTGCGACAGAACTCCCACCCCCAAGTGCCCAGGGACCTCGTCTGCTTCCTGGGGGCTGGACACGGAGGGCACACCCACAGACTGAACAGTACAGTCAGGACACAGGATTTGTCTACAGACTGTGACTAACATACCTTACCGATTAAGAAGTAATGACATGAGCTATGTGGGAACTCTTTGTACTACTTCAAAATTTGTTTTCCAAGTTTAAAACTATCCTGAGGTTGGAATAAAAAAGGGATCTCCCTGGCTCCTCAGGCTGCAATGGGCACACTCTGCACACCCTCTGTGAATCGCAGTCCCGTTCTCCTAGGAGATGCCAACCCGCTGAGCCAATCCATGCTCACAGTTCCCAGGCACACGTGTCATCCAATAGAACAACCAGATAAAGCTGAGTGTTCTAGTCCACACTCCAGTCCACGTTTAAGAAATGCCTCTGCCGTGCCTGACGCACGTGCCAAGTGACATCGTCTGAGCTAAACAAGCGGTGTCACCTCCGGAAGCCAAGGACAGCGCTGTTCAGGGAAGCCTGTGAGAATTCTCATGTCTTTTGGCAAAGAATCTGCAAAATGTGTGGACTAAAACAGCACACTGCGCTCAGTGACTGCCGAAAAGATCTCTCTGATGTGTTTAGTTCACCTTCAGTCTGCCTGAAGATGTGCTATCTTGTGGCTTGCCGGGCTTCCGAGGAAGCAGGTGTTGGGTGAATGAGGCCCACGTTACCTGAATCCATGCCTGCTGTTTCACGTCACCTTTGTGCGTTTTACCTTCGTAGCCTTTGCCACCATACTTCTGGTCTTCACTCACACACTTCACATGGTTTTTGTAGTCATTGCCCCTGTAACATGATCAGAAGTCTGGCCATCAGCGAGGTGGCACGTGGGAGGCCTGTCTAATGCCAGCTGCTGCTCATGCCTTTTTCTTGAGAGTAGAGACAGGGAGAAACATCTGTCCATCTGCTGGTTCACTCCCCAGTGACCGCAACGGCCGGAGATGAACCTATCCGAAGCCAGGAGCTTCCTCGGGCCTCCCGCGAGGGTGCAAGGTCCCAAGGCTCTGGGCCACCCTCGACTGCTTCCCCAGGTCATACGCAGGGAGTTGGATGGGAAGTGGAGCAGCCCGGACATGTATAGGCGCTCACATGAGATGCCAGTGCCACACTTTACTCTGTACTTGCTCACAGCTGTCATAGCACTGGCACCCTGGTATCCTGGTCACAGCCCATTTCCCTCCTCTAGACTCTTCCATTAATGCCAGTGGCCAGCATGGCACTGCCCTAAGTTAGACCTGGCATGTGACAGCTTAGTGCCAGTCTGGACTCAAGTAGCCAGCTCCCCTACTGATAAACCTGAGAGCACAGTGGAAGACAATCCCATTATCTGGGCCTCTGCCGTCCACGTGGGAGACATCAGTCTGGCCAGAGCAGGCTGCTGTGGCCGGCTGGCAAATGAGCCAGCAGATAGAAGACATCTCTTTCTCTCTTACAGGGGACAGCTCCCATGCAAGCTTTGTAAGTTCTCAGGGTCCCTCAGGGAAACACTGGGGACAAGGCTAATGGCCGCGTTCCCAGGTCAGAAACAATCAGATTTTCATGTACTTTAGACACCAAGGATTAAGCCTGGACAAAAAGTTCAGCACCTTCAGAACACAAAAATCACTGCTCTGGAATGCCATTCAAACCTGCTCGTGGCAAACAGCCAGCACCCAGCAGAGGCTGATGGGGCAGGTGCGGCCACACACAGCATCTCAGCCGAAGGCCACACCGACGGGGGCGGCATGAGCTCAGGAGGCTGGCTCTCTGCAAGCGTCCACCCTCCTGACCCTGTCGCCCCAGCCCTCCCAGAGAGCTCCTCCGAGGAATTGTCTCCCCAAGGACTTGGCGGCCAAGAGGGGTCTGACTTCAACCTCCGGTTTCCCACGCAGGACCCAGCCTTCTTGGTTGCTAGGTGGCCATGATGAGTGTGCACGCTAGCTTCCCGGCTCACAAGCCCACCTCGCCAGCAGCACAGGCACGCAAGGCCCTGGCTGCAGAGCTGCTCCAGAACCCTGAAGCCTCAGCCACCACTGGCCCCTAGAGTCTGAAATGGTGTTGACAAGATGAGGACCTGTGCCATGAATGGCAAATCCATCGAGGCCTCCTTCACGGGAGGCAGGGGCTCACATACTTGGGCCATCACCCACTGCCTTATAGACGCATTAGCAGGAAGCTGTATCAGAGGTGAGGTGGACCTAGCCCTAGGCATGCCCCTAAGGGATGCAGGCAGCCCAAGCAACAGTCCAACCCGTGTACCACAACGTCCCAGGGCCCCTTCTACAGGATCCTCCACTTTGAAGCAAAGGGCCCTGCAATTTGCCTGGACTTTCCAGGCTCTGGGTGGCATGGCTCCCAGAACTGGGCTGGAACGTCACCATGGTTCTCGGTGAAGTGCGCGGAACTTACCAGAAGTCTTTCCCGCAGTCAATACAAGAAAGGCATTCACAGTTTCTGCACACAGATACATGCTTTTCCACTTGTATCTTTTTCACTGATTCACCACACGCGTTGCAAGTAAAAAACACCATTTTCAGTTAATGATTAAAACAGCTTCTGTCCAAGACAGGTTGTGAATCTTCCACTAAAATAAAAAGGAAAAAAATTTGCTTACTGTGAGCTGAAACTTCCATTTCCAAAACATGATTCATAGAGAACTTTGTGACCATAATTTCATATGAAAATACTTGGAAATAACAGAAGCATGACAGATGAGAGCCGTTTCCCTCTGTGGTGAAACGATTGTCCATCACGACCCTGACAGGCTCTGGGCTGCACACTGGCACGTGCAGGACACTCCGGCAGCTCCGCAGGGGTGAATCTGTGACTCCTCAGCGTACCCGGCAAGGGCACTGCTGCCCAACACCCGAGGCACCTGAGGCAGAGGTGAACCAACCAGCCCAGGACCACACAGCAGCAGACTGGCTGCAGAGAGGCTTCAGGAGCTATAAACGGTGGAGCTTTCTGTTCCATTAATGGTGAGTCCATGTGTGTGCTTTCTCCCGTGGGTGTGTAAGAGTAGGGGTCCAGAATGAACCCTCTACTCCCCACATGTACTGCCAGCATTTCACGGGCCCAGTTCTCAGAGAATGGAGGCAGGGGTACCAAGTGGGAGGACAGGCAGCTTGCACAGACACGGAGGGCATTCCAAATGACAACACTGTACACACACAGGTGCCAACATCTGTGGATGGGGAGCACAGCCTGCTGTCTGCTCAAAGGCTCGGGATCCCAAACAGGCATCCCAAGCCAGCAGGTGCCAAGTTACTGCAGGCAGCCACAAACCCTGCTCTCCCCAGCACTGCCCGCATCCACTGTGTCTGCGCGTGCGCGCACACACACACTCAACATCAAAACCTCAGGGAGTGGCTGGTGTTTGCAGCGTCATGGGTAAAGTCACCAGCACCCCATATGGGTACTGGCTCACGTCCTGACTGCTCCATGACCTAAGGACAGCAGTGGAAGACAGCCCAAGCGCTCAGGCCTCTGCCGCCTACGTGGGAGACCCCAGTGAAGCTCTGGCTGCCGAGGTCACAGGGGAGTGAACCAGCGAATGCAAGATCACACACACTCTCACTGACCCTGCTTTCAAACTAAAGAAATCCTAAGAAAAAACCTCATGAAGATGCTGTCGTGTTCTAAGTGTTACAGAGGCTAAGAGTAAGTTTCCATTGCTCCCCAACCTCACTGCTAGATTCTAAGAGGGCTACTCCATGACTCAGTTTGCATGCTTCAGGGTCACCCGACGCCCAGGGGCCCGTGACTCTCACAATATCGCACGCATGAGCACCACTTCCCACCCCGGACATGCTCTGGGTCACCGCTGGCAAGGTCCCGCCCAAGCAGTACCAGGACTGTTCACAGCCACTCAGCCCTGAATGGAAATGTACAAAAGGCCTGGTCAGTCTCCGTGGAGGCCCCTGTGGGGCACTGCCAGACGACAGTTTATCAGCTGGTGTCCTGGTGTCACCAATCAGAATGGAGAGAGGCAGGGTATGTGGCCACCTATGGCCTCCCTGCAAAGCAGTCTGGCCACCCCAGGACATGCTGCGAAGCTGTGAGGCCGTGCGATCGGTACAAACATGGGCATGTCACAAGTTCCCATCCAGCTCCCCTTGCAGGCCAGTGTCCTGCACCACGCGGTCACAGCTCCACAGGTCAGTCAACAAGAGCAGCCGCTCTACCTCACACAGGCAGGTGGGCAGGCTGACAGCAGGAAGCAGTCCGCTGGTATCTGTACCAGGCCAAGCCACTGCGCAAAGCAACTGGCTGCTCAACAAGCTGTCTCGTCCCTGTGAGACAAGGACAAAACACGTCCCCTCAAAGGCACAGGTGGTCTAGCACTTCCCAGCCTTGGCTGTCGGAGACAGCTCTGAATCTCGGAGGAGCGAGGACCCGCCCCCCCCCCCCGACCTGGCAGGGCGGGTCAGACAGGAAAGACACACTCAGGGCATCTGTGCTGGACATGTCATCCCTCAGGAGACAGGTCACACCGTGTCAACATCAATTCAGGAGATCAGAAGTCCAGCACAAAGACCCCCTTTAACCGGGTCTTTGAGGTCTGCAAGATAAAATGGGCAGACTCCCCAGGAAATGAGAGCTTGGTCTCCCAGTGTTCTCTGCAAGACTTTCACACGCAACACCAAGAGAAAAAGCCGGGCTCCCGCCTGCCTAAGGGGAGGAGGTCCTGAGGGAGCTGAGCTCTCCCTCACCCAGGACCACCGAGCATCTCAACTCTAGCCCCCACACTCCCCAGGCTCTGCCTCCCACTGGATCCAGTCCCTGGGGAAAAGCACCAGGTAGCTATGCAGTAAACACTTGCACGGCCACACAGACAGCAAGCTCCCATCTTCGAGCAAACCTCCAGACCCAGCCCAGCTGCCTGGCGGACAGGGCGTCCCAAGTCTGTATGTGTCTTCTGATTTCAGAAGCAGAAAGGTTTAACTTACTGTGCCGACCCAACACAGCAGGGATTGCTGAAAACAAACAGGTCTGCTGTTAGATTCCACCAGGAGGCAGAAACACCTGAGCTGACCCAGTGCAGGTCTGGCAAGTCTGTCACACTGACTGAAACCTGAAGCCATTCCTGTCAGCTGCACACGACATGCTACCCACCAGATTCAGGATACACTGCAACTTCCAGTCACCCCGTCCTCAACAGGACTGGCCAGTCCTAAACCAGGGTCCCCCCTTCTCTCCCTGCAGCCACTGTAAGCATGTTCTCCCTTCTAAAAAGGAGAGCTCAGGAAGGGGCAAACAGAGCAGGGCTCCGCTGGCTGCACACGCCAGCTGCCGCAGGCACCACCCAGCAGTGGTTTGGACCCAGGGCTGTGCTCTCCAGAGCCCTGGGGCTCGGCTAGAAGCTGACCAGGTGCTCAGAGTGCACTTCTGCACTCCCCACCGCCCCATCTCCCGAATGCTGAGACGCGTGGCCATGAGCCCCTACAAAGCCATCCCACACTCAGTCATGCACTCAACACTCAGGACAGAACCCCTCATGGCGCAGGAGGTGGTGTGCTAGGCTGGGTGACAGCTGCAAGCTCTTCCCTGCCGTGGTCGTGGGCTATCACATCCTGGCCATCCGCTTGGCCACCGCTCTCATAAACAAGAAAAAGAAAAATGATGGGTTTTATAACACAGCTTTCCACTTAACACACATCTCAGCCCTCCAAGCCCGTGTATATGACTGCAGGACAGACGCTGAACTGAAGGGCAGCAGACAACAAACCCGAGGACCAGCCACCATGCCTTCTCTCAAAAACAACATGGCCAAGTCTTTAGGGCTGCGACTGGGGCAGAGGGCCTGAGCCAAGATGGACAGGTGCAAAATACCTTATCACAAACTGTAGGATGGGTCCAACACGTGTCTCAAAGCATCAGCCCACGTCAAAGCCTCACTCCTACCCATGGGGACAAAGGCACCCAGTGACTGACTCCTGTGGACATCAAGATGACCACACCCAATCCTCCCAAATACGACTTGCCCGTCTTCACACACCCACACCCTCCCTGCCCCACTGGCACCCGGCTCAGATAACGCATCCTGAAGTTGGGGTTCTGGGCCTGGGACTTGGGGGCTTTATTTTGTACTTTCCTCTTTGTGCATTTCTGCATTTTTCATTTTCCTTTAAAAAAATCATCTTTCTAATATAAATCTCAACAACAAATCACTTTTACTATCCTGCTCGCGCCCCACTCTCACATTACCAAAACAGCCCACCTGGGGCCCAGGCTGGCAACCCCAGGCCACCTCCCCTTTTAAGCATCAAGTTCTCCTGTCTGTTAAACCAATGGTTCAGGCCCACCGGACTGGGCCACGAGCACGGCGAGGTGCAGGCGGGCTGCCTGCCGCAGCACTGTGCCAGGTACAGGGCGGTCTGGGCCACAGTGGACGCTCTCTGCAGAAAAGCCAGTCTTGCCAAACACTCACACCTCCACTTCACTCCTCCTACCCCCTCTCCTGGGACATAAAGGCTGTACTCTCCGTGCACCTGCCGCATGCCAAGGCCTGACCGTCACAGGGGTCCTCACCATAGCACCCCTTCCTCAATTCAGCTTTTGCATGGCCGTGCCCCTCGCGAGGAAACCCGAAGAGGGTAAGTTGCTGTTTGCATCCCCAGTCGGCCATGGTAACCTGGTCTCCTGGACCCCCACTGCGCCCCGAAGGCCGCCTCTCTGGGAGCGGGGTTCTGAGAGCCTTAAGAAGCAGAGAACATCCACGAGCTGTTGGGACGCGCGGCTGGGGCTCGGGCCACCTCCGCAGGGCGCGAATTAGTCCGGCCTGGACGGCTCCCTCGCTCGGAGCGGCCGGGCCCGGGGGCACTGAGGGCGCAGGCACCGGCGCCGCCGCCCCGGCCCTCTGCTCGCTCGCTCTCTCTCTGAGCCCTGCCCTCCCAGGTCGGACCTCGGGGTCTCCGTCCCTCACCTCTCGGCCAGCGCCTGCCAACCGTTTCCACCGGCCGCCGGCAGCACGTGGCGCCTCGGCCCGCCACCTGCTCCGCAGCCGCCCCGCGCCCGGGCACCGAGGAGCCGCCCCGCGCGCCTGCGCGCCGCCACCACGCCCTCGGCGGAAGCGGCGTCGCCGGAAGCCGGCAGGCGGGCTCGGGGCGCCGAGGGGGCGTTGTCTGCGGAGCCGGGCCCCGCGGGGCGGGTGGAGAGGACGGCGAAGGGGGCGCGCGGCCGGGGGTCTCCGACGGTAAGGAGTGCGGGGTGTTTCGCTCGGGCGTGGACACGGAGAGCCCGCCGGCTCTCTCGCCGCTCCACGCGAGTCCGCGCGCACCTGCCCGAGACCGGACTCCGGAGGGAAGGGTCATTGGTGGAGATTCGGGGCCTGGGCGTCCGCGCTGGGCTCGGTGGGCCTGGGCACCTCCTGGCCGACCCCGCGGTGGGGAGGAGGGTCTGGGATCTCGGCATGGGCATTCCGGGCCGCCTGCGCCGGGGGTCCGGGCGTGCCGAGCGCCGGCCGGGCGCAACGCCTGGCTCCCTTCTCCCCCAGCAGGTGCCCCGTGCGTGCGCTGGGCTGGCATGCACCCCGGGGCAGGGCTGGCACGCGGTGGTTGTATGCAAGTGAGAACGGGATCCGGACCGGGTTATGGTGAGGACGGGTGCTGCGGGAAGGTCTCTTCCCATCTGAGAGGAGGGGAGACAGAAGTCCTGACTTCTGGTTCCCCCTAGATGCTTGCAGCAGCCAGGACCCAGGCACGCGGCAGGAACCCAGCTCTTTGCATCATCTGTTACCTCCCGGAGTGTTCCCTAGCAGCACCAGAGTGGTGATCGGAGCTGGAACTCAGCTGGGCCCTCTGATCCGGGGTACGGGCCCCAGGCAGCCTTCTTAACCCCGCCCCCCCAATGCCCGCCCCATGTGTGGGTTTTAGAACAAAAAGAATCCTAGAGCCTAGTCCAAAGGGGAACCTCTTCATTTTTACAGACAGAAAACCAGAGGCCTAGAGTTCCCATCCGTCCAAAGACTGCATTGAGCATCTACTGGGTCCCAGATAGCAAGCATAGCAAGCGATGTAGTCGTGTCTCCACCACACAGGGCAGGGTTCTTGTCACAGTGAGTTAGGGCAAAGATGGAGGAGAAACCTGGCTGCCCGTCACACCTGGTGCATGTCTTACGGCAGAGCCTGGCTGTTGGGTCCCCTGGCCTCTCTGACATGCGCAGTAGACTGAAGAAGGTATGATCGGAGGAAGGCTTTACCTGGGCATGTATGGCATGGGTCATGGAGTCAGATTCTCTCAACTTGAATCCTGCCTCTGCCCTTCCTTGAGCACCAGTTTTTGGTGTGGGACCCTCTCCGTCCTGGGGGGCAGGTTATCGCTGTGCCATAGACCAACCTCAAACTTGTAAGCTGTTTTATAGTTTTGAGGGTCAGGAATTCAGGCAGGTGTGCTTACGTCAGTGCTTGGGTCTCACATGGTGTCAGCCAGGGTCGCTTTGATTGTCATCTAGGGGAGACTGCCCTGGAGAGTTCAGCTGGCCCGGAGTGGGGAGGGATGGCTAAGCCCAGCCAGGTCCTTGCCTGCTCTCCGCTCGCCCCTGCAGTTCAGCCTGCAGGCAGCTGAGGTCCCCCAGAAGCAGTGTCCCATAGAGTGTGGAGCTTGTTAGCTCCTAAAACCTGGGCTTGGGAGTGAGCCCAGCCTCCAGCCTTCCTCCCAGCAGCTTGTACCGGGCAGGGCAGGCAAGCGACAGGAGACTGGGCTGCATGCCTGGTGGGGAGCGGCTCAGAGACTGAGCAGTTTCCTTTTACCCCCGGCCCTTGTTGTCCTTTGTTGCAGGTGGTGGTCCTGGCTTGTGGGTGGCCCCGGGCTTGACTCAGTCAGGTGTAGAGGGCTTAGCTTAGCGCCTGGGAAGTACAGGCCATCTGTCAGATTATTGTTGGGGTTAATTACTGGACGTTTTCTTCCTGACTTGTTTACAGAGCGTGTAAGAGACAGTGGAGCAGGAGAGTGAGGGCCCGGGGTCTCTGAACCCGGGTGGGCTTGTGTTGGTTTTGTGATCTCTGGCAGGTTGCCCCGCCTCCCCACTTCTTGACTGTCTTGGAAATGAGTTGAGTTCCTGTACAATTGTTGAAATTCTAGCAGAGGTCTGTAGTGAGCAGCTAGTAATAAACCAGGGAGCCTTTTCCCTGTGGGCAGCCGGGCACAGGGGCAGGTAACAGGATCTGTCAGCTCTTGGCTTCCTTCAGATTCAGCACTGGGGACAGTTCCTAGCACCTGGCACCACGCCTTGGTTCCTGGGCACTTGTCTGGGCCAGGCTGACCATCCCAGGGCACTGCTCTTGCTCCCTGTGGATGACATCATCTCTAGTCCCAGACCTGGAGGTGGGGATACCACCCCCAGCTCTGCTCATTAGAAACCACACTTTTGGTAAGGAAGTGGGGCGATGAAAGGAGCCATGAGGAGAGAAGAGGGGCACATCTCGGAGAGTTCCAGCTGTGGGCCCTTACTACAGACACTCGGCAGAATGAGATTTGGACCTGGTGGCGGAAAGCTGGGGTGTGAGTGATTGTCCCGGACAAGAGGAGCCGGCTGAAGAGCTGCGTCCCAGAGCACTGCCATTTCAGAGCTGGGGTGAGGCAGGGACAGGGTTGGTGTGTGGCCTAGACAAGGGCAAGGAGCAGGGACCCCGGGAGCCTGAAGAGTGGTGGCAGGGGGAGCTGGGGGACAGAGCTTGGCCCGCAGCCCTGCTGCCTGGTGCAGGAGAGCTAGGGAGCACGGTTTGTGGGGAGGTGTGTGTGTGTGCAGGAGGAGGAGGTGGGAGGAGGTGGGAAGGATGGGGTGGGGTGGAGGAGGTGGGGAATCGAGTGTGTAGGCAGCGGAGGCAGAGGGGGAGGAAGCACAGTGCAGGTGCAAGCTGCTGTTGTGCAGGACCGTGAAGGTGATGAACCTGGGGGAGGATGAGGCACATTTCCAGGAGGTGGGATCCTGAGAGAGGGCAGTGTGCTTCGGAAAGGAAGACGCACACTTCCTCCTGGGAAGCTGAGGGAGTGAGGGAGGTGGGAGAAGAGTCGCAGGCTGTCCACGCCAACTTGCCCTTCCTCCCGAAGACAGAGTTAGGAAAGGGACCAGCTGGGTGGGAAGGAAGAGAGTGTGACGGAATTAGAATGGCCACTGTGCAAAAGGTATAGGGAAGGTTAAAATGGCATCACTACTTGTGAAGAGGTCAGCCAGCATGAGCTGTGACGGGCACGTGCTGTGTGCCAGGTCAAGGGGAATCAGTGGTACCCCCAATGCCTACAGCAGCGCTAGTTTGCCTCATGGACACCGGCGTGAGCACGGTGCTGTCAGAGGGCCGTCCCAGCGTCAGACTGAAGGAGAACGGGGAGAGTCGGGAGGGAAGCAGGGGCCGCCCGGAAGGTCAGGCTTCGTGGAGGTGGAACCAGGCCTGTTCGTCGCTGTGGCCCTGTAGCCCGGCACACTGTCCTCTGTCACGGGCAGAGGGTAAAGGATGGCCCTCGACAGGGCCTGCGGGGGCCGTTGGCCCACGTCTGTGTCGATGTGGCTGAGTCCCGGCCCTGCTTTGCTGCGCTTCCCCGCTTCCTGCTGCTGCGCCCCCTGACAGGCGGTGGTGGCTCAGGTCAGATCCCTGCCACCCACAGTGCAGACACGTGGCTTCTGTCCTGGCCTGTCCTTGGCCTGACTGTGTGGCATTTGAGGAACCTGCAGATGGGAGAGCTTGTCTCTACCTTTCAAACAACATGCGCACATATGTACACACACATATACGGGAGGGAGGGGTGTCCTGCAAGGCTGACAGCCACCCACCCCCTTGGACATGGCTACCTGCCCTTCCCGCCAGCCACACAGGGCCCCGCTGGCTGCCCGTCCCCTCTGTCGTGGGCACTGGTCAGTCCTTGCCGTACCTCCCGCAGGTGTGTGCTAGGCATGTCAGCAGCTCCTCACAGAAGCATGTGTGGGCAACACCTTGATACTGGCTCTCCTTGTGGCAGGTGCAGCTGGTCACTCAGGCCTTACACGTGTTGCTAGATGTGTATTAGTTTGTTTTTTTTTTGTCATTTTCCTAAGACATAAGAAACGTGTGTCATCTTGGTTATAATCTAGGTTTCTGCTGTCAGATACAGGGGGCATTTAAACGTGTTAGAATTTCAGACCCTTAGCCATGCGCACAGTGTGGAGGACACATCCACCCCGTGGAGAGTGAACCTGTAACACAGGTGTCCTGTTCCACAGCCTAGGCCTGGACACCCAGGAATGAGTGACAGGGTGAGGTGGGGGACCGTGAGCGGGACGCACAGATGCCAGGCGGCTGGCGGCCACGTCACTGAAACTCTCCCGTGCGTGCTTCCCCGCAGGTCTGGCGCGGGGTAGCATGGACCCTGTTGCCGCCCACAGCTGCCAGCTGCTGCAGCAGCTACACGAGCAGCGCATCCAGGGCCTGCTGTGCGACTGCATGCTGGTGGTGAAAGGCGTGTGCTTCAAGGCGCACAAGAACGTCCTGGCGGCCTTCAGCCACTACTTCCGGTACGTGTCCCTGCGGGGAGAGCGGGGTGGAGGGAGCTGGCCACCAGTGGGCGGGGAGCAGAACCAGGCCTTTCTTTAAGCCTTGATTCTTCCTTACTTTAGTCCTTTTTTTTTGCTTCGGGTTATTACAACTCTGGTATTTAAAGTCACCTGAGAGTGAAAAAAGGCTTTTCACCAGAATGTATCTTATTTTGATACTTTGTCTTTCATTTTAGTCACTGTAATAATGAATTTCCGTTTTCTGAAGTGATTGATAGGAATATTTCTGTGAACAGGAACGGGCACTGTGGCATAACTTGTCAGGGCAGCCCTGTGATGCTCCAGTCGCTGAATTAAGGCTCAGACATGGCACGCTGGCAGGCGCCATGTGCCGTCAGCTCGGGCCCCGACGTAGCAGCTTCTGTCCCTGCGCAAGGTGGTCCCAGACGCCTGGCTTTGCCGTGGCCTCCAGGAGAGCTAATTGTGTGACCGCTTGGTCGGTGTAAACTGTAGTCACTCGTGGCTGTTTGGGGGACACAGCTGACTCTG